GTTGTTAGAAGTTGTCAAGTTGGCCCTCAACTCATGGTGACCTCCTGCAAAACAGAATGAAATGCTGCCTGGTTCTAAGCCATTCCCATGACTGGTTGCAGATCAAACCATTGTGCTCCATAGAGTTTTCACTGGCTGATTTTCAGAAGTAGATCCTCAGGCCTTTCTTCCTAGTATGTCTTAGTCTGGAAGCTCTGCTGAAACCTATTCAGCATCATAACAAAATGCAAGCCTCTACTGACAGACGGGTGGTGGCTATGCATGAAGTGCATTGGCTGGGAAACAAACCCAGGCCTCCAGCATGGAAAGTGAGAATTATACCACTGAACCACCACTGCCCCCATACATACAAAATACATACACACACACACACACACACACACACACACACACACAGACATGGATTTATTTCTCACAAGTGATTAGGCCTGTGGGATATTCTGCACAGGGGATCCTGAGTTATGGCTCTCACTTCCTCAAGGCATAAGCTATTCTCATTTGAAAATCAGAACTATTTAACAAAAATAGATCAACAAGATCCCCCAAACACCCTAATCAAACAGGGACCAGGAACACACTATCTAAAAAACAAAAACAAAGGCAGGAGAGCTCTAGCACTACAGCTGAGCAACATGAGGGAAAAGAGAGCACAGGAGGAACCAGCCTGGACCAGACAGCCACTATGAAGTATGACCAGAGAGAGGGCTGCGGGCATCCTCTGGCCTGAGTTCTAGACAGCGGCTCTAAGGCCTTGGCTTCAGTCTTCCCCAGTGCTTGCCCCAACCTGTCACCAAGGCTGTGGAGCAGGCATTAAGGAATGCCTGGTGCCCCTAAGCCACCTCATCAGAAGAGAATCCTTCAACGGCTTGCCACACCGACACTCACCAAATGAGGGTACTGCCTGTACTTATTATGCTTGCCTCTTAAATCAGTCATTGTCCCCAGTCTTTTTTTTTTAAGCTAATGTAATTATATACCAATGTTTCTAAAAAACTAAATTTCAAAAAGATCAACAACTGTGAGCCTCCTTCCCTTTAAAAGTTCCACCAAAGGCTTAAATCAGGAAGGGCTGGGAGTTTGTCAAGGAAGGGACCTGAGACCAATGAAACTCATGTGAAAGCATCAGAAAAAGTTTTAATCCCAAGTGGGCTGCTTCTGCTTGCCACTCAGCTTTCTTTCGGGTAACCATCCCTATGGTTAGTTTGAATGTATTCAATAAATTCATATGCAGGGTATTAGCTAAAGCAAAAAAATTAGGAATGTAAATTTGCTACCAAAAGTACATTCATAATATATTCCAAAATCACACCAGACACACACACACACAATTACCCATTCCCCATTCATATCTACTGTTATGTGCCAAAATTTTGCTACATCCTGAAAAGGTAACCCACCTATTTGTGCATTATTAGACCAAGTGCTTAAACGTATACTTCACAGTTTACAAAGTACTTTCACATTAGCCCATCCAATTCTCACAAAAACTCCAGCACAGAGGTGTAATTTGGACCATTTTATATGAGCGAAATCTAAGGCTCAAAGCTGTGACGTGACCTGCCTGAAGCCACACGTGAACTGAACTGCAGCACTAGAAGTGGGAAGATCTCCTGCCCCAAGCACATTGCACAAGGCTTCCCTGTGGGGATATGTGCCATTAAAATATGGATGTATAAAGTCCTCTATGCTGCACAGCATGTTGAGACTTGTCCCCAACATGTTGATACTTGTCACGGCTTGTTTTTCCAAACCCATTACTGATTGGCTTGTTTACCTGAATTCCTCCTCCCTTGCCCGAAACTTATTGTTATTCACCCAAAGCCCATTGTTCTGTTATTTGCTTCACTGTTCGCTGTATTGACTATAGAATAAACTCCTGGGACTGAAGCTGGGTTTGACTCCTCAGAGTGACCCTCCTGGCCCCACTTCTCTGTAAGAGTTGCGGCATTGGTTATTGTCTCCGCCGCCCCGACAACCGTCGCCGCTGCGACACTTCCCTTCTACCTAGCTCCTTGATTCCCATCCTTTTGGGGAAGAAAGGACAGGAGGTGTTGAGTGGAATCCTGCTTATTTCAACCTATTCTTCTTTGGCTACAACACAGCCATGACTGGTTCGGAGTCTCCCCTACTTTTCCCTCTCAGCTATGACATTCCCTGGTAAAGCCTTCAAGAATCTAAGCCTAAAACAGATCAGGATGAGAAGGTCCGGTGAAAATCCACATGACATCTCAATTCCTACCTGTACTATTCTAAGCCTTATATTCCTACTCATTGGGAAACTCTAACTTCTCCCATTCCTACTGACAAGTTTTAACATGTTATTGTGTATGTGTATGTGTGTGTGTGTGTGTGTGTGTGTGTGTGTGTTTGGTGAAGTTCACCAAAATTAAAGGCTTCTACAGGTGAACTGTTTCCCTGCCAATGCCCTGGAAGCAAAATTTGTGTAGTGGCACAAAATCAAAGACAATTCCAATGATCTTTTTTTAAGTCAGAAAAAAAGCCCATGTCTGCATGATGATTATATGTGCGTAGGTCAAAGTGTCTGAATCTATGTTTACACATCAGCAGTTAAACAGTGAAATATTTATTACACATTTAATTGACAACAGGTTTAATCAGAGTTGGCAAACATAAGAGCTACTTAAATGCCTTTATAAGGACTATTTAAAGTGAAGAGACTAAACTAACAGCTGATAACCTAAAAGACTAGCATTTCAAAAACTGAAATTGCAAACTGTTATTTGGTTTTCTTCGGAGAAAATGGGGCTGACAAAGGGAAGGCTCTGCAAAACTGAAGGTGTTTTTTAACCATTAGAGTGACTTTCACAATCTATGATTTGGTTTCATTGTGTTATGGATTGAATTGTGTCCCCCCAAAATATGTGTCAACTTGGCTAGGCCATGATTCCCAGTAGTGTGTGACTGTCCACCATTTTGTCATCTGATGTGATTTTCCTAGGTGTTGTAACTCCTATTTCTATGATGTTAATGAGGTGGGATTAGAGGCAGTTATGTTAATGAGGCAGGACTCAATCTACAAGATTAGGTTGTATTTTGAGTCATTCTCTTTTGAGATATACAAGAGAGAAGCCAGCAGAGAGATGCGGGGCCTCAAACCACCAAGAAAGCAGTACCGGGAGCAGACCCCTTTGGACCCAGCGTCCCTGCACTGAGAAGATTCTCGACCAGGGGAAGATTGATGAGAAGGACCTTCCTCCAGAGCCGACAGAGAGAGAAAGCCTTCCCCTGAAACTGGCACCCTGAATTCTGACTTCTAGCCTCCTAGACTGTGAGAGAATAAATTTTTCTTTGTTAAAGCCATCCACTTGTGGTATTTCTGTAATAGCAGCACTAGATAACTAAGATACATTTTACAGCTACTATGACCATGATTATAAAATAAGATTAGTTATTTAAAATACCAAATTAATTTTAAGAACTATCTATATGGGATCAAATTGACAAAAGCAACTTGAAAGATTAGACAGAAACCTTAGGGGGCAGTAAGTTTATGTTAATGGGGGAGGAACAACTCAGAAATGGAGGGTGAGGATGGCTGCATAACTCAAAGAATGTAATTAATATCACTGAATTGTACATATAGAAACTTTTGAATTGGTGTATGTTTTGTTGTGTATATTCTCAACAACAACAAAATAGATAAACTAAAAAAATATTGATCATCCATTTGACCTCAAGAGGAGTTCCCAAATTCTCCATTTAGATAAAGAATAACATTATTTATATCTGTAATAACCATCTCCTTTCTGATACATGTCAACAGCTGACATGCAGTTCAGATGACTTTGACAACTCCACAGATTAGGAGAAAAAGGGTATATTTTTTGTACAGAAAATCTAAATTGGGAGGCAGTGAAGCACAGAGGAATGACCTGGAGCCCTAGAGTCAGAGTCAGCCCCATACCATATACAAAACCTCATACACATCACTTAATCATTCTAAATTCAGTTTCATCACCAGTAACATATAGGAAACTCTACACGTCTGTGAAGGCACAAATGTGTGTTGGAGTAGTACGGAGAAATAAACAGACTTCTGTTCCTCAAGCATCCATCCACCGTGGAGAGGGACTTAAATGTCCCATCCCCCTGGGAGGTGATGTAGTAAGTGTAGTAAGGTGAGCTCACTTGGTCTCTGAAGGGGGAAACTGGCTTGACTCTGACTTGCAGTCTTGACCCTCTTGTGCAAGGTGGGAGATTGTTCTTGCACCTCTTGCCTCCATGCTGTGAGCCAAACAGGCAGCCTTTGGTAGGCCCAGCAGCTTCTAAGATCTCTTTCAGCCTCCCTACCTGTGACTGTGACTGACCTAGCAGCTAAAAGACATGCCCTGTCTTCATTTCATGAAGTATGTAGCAAAGAGCCCCATTACAGCCTCAGGTCTAAGCTACATCTTCCAACATAGGTTACAGGGACTTCAGATCATAAATCCATCATCCAATCACCTGTTAGTTCCTTGTGTCTTTTTATCAGTGAGTTGGAAACCAGGGGTAGGGGGAATCAGTGAGCTAATCTCCAACCACCATCACCTTCTTACAGAGTTACTGTGATGATTAGAAACAATGCATGTAAAAACAGAAATAAGGAATATATGCAAAGTTCCTAAAACACAGCAGATGCTTAATAAACTGTAACTATATTTTATATTTGTTGAAAATAGTTTTAAAACCTTCTGAAAACTGCAGAATTGCTTCAACAGAAGAACCAGCCTAACATGTGAATGTCCTCTCATAAAATGAGTTGAGAAGTGTTCTCTCCTCTATTTTCTGAAAGAGTTTGTTTAGGATTAGTATTATTTCCTCTTTAAATGCTTGATAGAATTCACTAGTGAAGCTCTCTGGGCTTGTGAGAAGGTTTTTAATCATGAACTCAATTTCTTTAATTAACATAAGGCTGTTCAAGTTTTCCATTTCTTCTTTGCTCAGTTTGGTAATCTGTGTCTCTCAAGGAATTTGTCCATTTTACCTGAGTTGTCAAATTTATTGGCATAAAGTTGTTTATCCAAACCAAACCCATTGCCATCGAATTGATTCTGACTCATAGCAACCTTACAGGGCAGAGAAGAACTGCCTCACAAGGTTTCTAAGGAGCAGCTGGTGGATTCGAACTGCTGAACTTTTGATTAGCAGCTGAGCTCTTTACCACTGCACCATCAGGGCTCCAAAGTTGTTTATAGTATCCTCTTATGATCCCTTTAATATCTGTGTGGCCTGTAGTGATGTCCCTTCTTTTATTCCTGATATTTTTTGTTGTTAGGTGCTGTCAAGTCTATTCTGACTCATAGCCACCCTATGTACAACCAGATACTTCCTGGTCCTGTACCACCCTCACAATCATTATGCTTGAGCCCATTGTTGCAGCCACTGTGTCAATCCATCTCATTGAGGGTCTTCCTCTTTTTTGCTGACCCTCCACTTTACCAAGCATGATGTCCCTCTCTAGGGACTGGTTCCTGATATAAATAATTTTTAATCTTTCTTTTTTCTTGATTGAACTAGCTAGAGCTTTATCAATTTGGAGGGCATTCTCTAGTTCATAAGAATGTTATTGGGTTTTGTTGGCAGAGATCTCTCTTCTTCGGGCTGACTGAAAAAGCTTCCCTTCAGTGCTCATTCAGAAAGAGAGCTGAAACAAGCTCCACTGCTGTTATCTGAGGGAGGCCCTTTTAGAGGCTAAATTTTCAAATAATACCCCCACAATGGGGGAAAAGGGAGCCACCTACACCGTTTGTGAAGTAGAGGCTTAGCCCTAACCTTGCTGCTAAGCACAATGGCCCTCAATAATAAGGATAATTAGATGTTTTTAACTTTTTATTTTGGAATAATTACAGACATAGACTTATAGAAGTTGCAAAGATAGTACAGAAAGGTCCTCTGTATATTTCACCCAGTTTCTCCCATTGGTTACTCCTTACATAATTATAGTACAATGTTGAAACCAGGAGTTTGACATTGGTACAATGTGTATATAAAGTTCTATGCCATTTTATCATGTGTAGATTCATGTAATCACCACCACAATCAAAAAACAGAATTATTTCTTAACCATGAAGCTCTCCCTCTTGTTACCACTTTATTGTCACACCCACCCTCTACACTCCTACCATCTCTAACCCTTGGAAACCACTAATTTGTTTTCCATCTCTATAATTTTGTCATTTCGAGAGTGCTATATAAACTAAATCATACATTATGTGACCTTTTGAGATTGGCATTTTTCACTCAGCATAATTCTCTGGAGATCCATCCAGGTTGTTGCATGTATCAATAATTTGATCCTTTTTATTGCTGAATAGTATTCCAATATATGGATGTATCACAGTTTGTTTAACCATTCACTTATTGCAGGACATTTTGGTTGTTTCCAGTTTAGGGCTGTTACAAACAAAGCTGCTATGAACAATCATGTACAGGTTTTTTGCGTGAACATAAGTTTTCATTCTCTGGAGTAAATCCCCAGGAGTACAATTGCTGGGTCATATGGTAATTTCAGCTAAGGTTTTATAAGAAACTGCCACACTATTTACCAGAGTAGCTGTACCATTTTACATTCCTAGCAGCGATGTATGAGATTCAGATTTTAAAAAAGAAATGAATCATTGATGATGAGTCAATTATAGTCTCTGAACAGGTACAGAACACAGTAATAAGCAACCTAGGAGAAGGCAAAAGAACTAGATAATTATGTAGGTAAATTAACACACAGATTCGCATGCTTTAAGAAATACTGGTAACTCACCGCCCCCTAAGGCTCCTATCTTTCAAATTGCTGTTGTCAATTTGATCCCATATAGATAGCTCTTAAAAGAGCATAATGCTCAAGGCAGATGTTTTTTACTAGTTAAGCTAAACTATTGTTTGGTTTTAAGAAGATTTCAGGGAATATTTTTTGGTTTAATGTTTAAAGATTATCTCAGGGTGATAGTTTCAGGGGTACATCCAGCCTTCATGGCTCTAGAAAGTCTGGAGTCCATAAGAATTTTAAATTCTGTTTCACATTTCCCCCCTTTTGACCAAGACTCCTCTTTAGAGTCCTTGATCAAAATGTTCAGTAATGGCAGCCAGGCAACATCCAGTTCTGGTCTCATGGCAAAGGAGGCAGTTGCTCACGAAGGCAATTAGCCACACATACCATTTCTTCCTCCTATTCCTGATTCTCCTTCCTCTGTTGCTCCAGAACCTTAGGGGTCAGTGAGTTTATGTTACTGGGGGAGGAACAACTTGGAAAAGGAGGGTGAGAATGGTTGCACAACTCAAAGAATACTATCAATGTCACTGAATTGTACATGTAGAAACTGTGGATGTATTTTTTGCTGTGTATATTCTCAACAACAACAACAAAATAAATAAAATTAAAAAAAAAGAAAGAAATACTAGCAAAAACCTTTTACCTTCTTTAAACTGTATCCAGCATGGAAAATAATTGGAGGCAGCAGAATATTAAAAAATACCTCTGGATCAAATGTTACCTAAAAGTTTAAAAAGAAAAAAGCCAATTTTTAATTTAATACCAACTAGTGCAATAATAATAGTGCAATAAAATGAGTCAAAGCCAACTTGGCAGCAACAGTGCTATAATATTTGCTTTAAATATTTTAAGCCATTCACTTAAGGTTAAATATTTAGAGAAAATAACATAAATGTGGAAAACCATGGACTCATCACAGGAGAAAAGCCACAAAATAGCTTCCCCTGTGGACTGACATGTTCTTCTCCCCACAACACTACTGACTTCTGATCTTCATGCATTGCCTGAATACATATTAACACACAACAGTTCAATGGAATTTTCAGAACTCACAAAAAGTTTCTCACCAATGTTGATAAACAAAAAAAAAAATCTTAATTTTTATCAAATCCTTATAAAGGCTCAACTGCAATTAAAGATGCAGTAATGATTTTTTATTTCCCAGGTCCTCTTCCAGAATCATTTATAGACATAACTCTACTGAATTTAATCCTCTTTTGAGTGACCAGCCTTCTGTGACACTTAATGTGGCCTAGATCAAAGTCACCAGTAATGCCAGTGGCTTCCTGAATATCAACATAAATTCAGCAATTCTAAGGGGAATGAAATTACCTGTAGATTTGATAGAGGGAAACTACTCTGAAACTATCAAACAGCAAAATCTTATCACATCCAGAAAAGAATTAAGCATTCTATAAGCTTGCTAAGCTTTTTAAAAAATACATTCATATTGGTATATTTACTGGCTTTTATTTCAGTTAATTATTTTAAATCTTCATTCTAATGATTAAAAGTAAAGATTCTAAGTTTTTGGGAAACTAGAAATGTTAATATGCCTAATTAAGAGTAGAGTGGTTCTTTCAGATTATATTTTATTCTATCTTCTTGCTGAAGACAAAAGTACTCTGAAAAGCAGGGGCTGTCAGAATGAGAAGGGGCCTTGAATAATACCACCAGCTGCTGTTGATTCCGACTCATGGCATATGTGTCAGAGTAGAACTGTGTTCCATAGCATTTTCAATGGCTGACTTGTCAAAAGTAGATCACTAGGCCTTTCTTTCAAGGTGCCTTTGGGTGGACTTGAACCTCCAACCTTTCGGTTACCAGCCAAGCACATTAACCATTTGCACCACCCAGAGACTCCTGGACAATACCTACTCAATATGAGGACATTGGGCCCAAAGAGGGTGGGACTTGATGGAAGTCACCCAGTAATGTACAACTAGTACAAGGGTTTTCTGACACCCAATCCAATGACCACCAACCTGCCTCAACATGCCTCTTCTCCCCTCAACTAGCAACGATAATCTTGGCCTTGCTTGTTCTCCCACCTTTGCTTTGTGTGATAAAATGTTAAGCAGAGGGGACTCGAATAAACATTTTTTCTAAAGAAGACAGAGCAAAAGTCAGCTTCACCTTCTATTATAATCTAAAAAAAATGGAAACAGGTTGGGATCTCTTCCCTTTTTTCTCCTATTATATCCAGTATGAAGGGTGCAAGCTGTCATTTAAAAACAGCCATTAGCATGGTATTTACCCTGGGTATCTTTCTCAGCTGCATTTAATTTCACAAGTGTTTATGGAAATTCTATGCATTCTTCTGAAGGGTTAAAGGCAAAGAATACACTAGTACTGCCGTTAGGGACACAGAAAAGATGGTTAGGTTTAATGCTCCGGGTCAAGACTAATTTTCTTTAAGGATTAGAGTAGATTATGAGAGCAAGAAGTACACTCTGCCTTGACTGCAAGCCTTCACATACACTAACCTTGTTCTATATTCAAAGGGGCTCCCCACAACTTGGATTCCCCAAACCATTCTGCAGAAGCCTTCCTGCCGATAAGCTCTGGTCTATAAGGTAATGGAATGTATATCAACAAAAACAGATGTCTTGCTTATCCTGGAAATTATCCATGTGAGGAAACACAGAATCCTTTTTCCTGTGGAGTACTTTAGCTATCTCCAACATCAACAAAAAACAATGTTTGGACTCAAATTCTAAAACAAGACCTTCTTCCCGGATGATTCATTAAGTCTTTAGCATCAATCACCATTGAGAGTAGGCACCCAATAAATATTTGTAGAATACAGCAAAAGAACAATGCAGAACTAAGAATTACACTTCTGAACCATGAAGCAATAAGCTAAAAGTGAAATAAATCTTATTTAGAAAGAAACAATCTCATCTCTAACCTACCAACAAGGATAATCGACATAGTAAAGAAAAGATGGGGGTTGGAGAGACAAGCTGTGTGGGGATGTACAAACAAATGCATGGCACAGTCACTGCCCATGTCAGCTCCTAATCCTAACAAGCCCGAGATGGTCACAAAGCTGAAAGGCTTGGGTTCAAATCTGGTTCCTTGGTCTCCTTATCACAGGCCAAAAGCTTCTTATGAAAACTGAGAGCCAGGAATTACTGATATTCCAGGAGTTTGAAAAGATTTCTTTTCATAGAGTCAAGACAGAGTAAGGAAATAAAACTCATGTCAGGACAATGATGGCTGATTGTCCCCTGCTCACCTTCCTGAGCATGTCATTCTGCTCTACACTGTTGATCTTGCCAGGGCTGATTTCTCCTTTCAGGGTGTATTCGAAGAACTTCCCACTGACATTCACTAATAAGGTGCTGAAGGCCCTGTCTTCCTGAGTGCAGCTGAGGGACTTGTCATGGCCACTGGTGGCAGGGGTGCCGTACCTTAGGATCACCCCAACGATGAGTCCTGAAACAGAGGGGGGAAAAACATCAGGCTTGTAGAAGGACAGAGAGAGTGTGGAAATAATGGCACAGTCAAGTTTCAACAACTAAAAAATTCAGAAGTGGTATTTTAAGTGTGTACTTTAGGAGCAACTCCACTGTCCTTCAGAAAAAGTTATGCATCCTTCTATTCTGGTTTAAATCCCTTCAGTCACCAGGACAACAAGATGGGACAGTACCCTTGGTAGTTATTATGACACTTTCAGCACTTTTAACAACTGATAACGTCTCATTTCTTGGGCTTTTGGTGGAGGAAGTGGGATGATAAGAAGCAAAGCTTTTTTGCCAAGGACAGCACAAAGCAGAACTGCTGAGCTCTTTGATTTTCACCGGCAGCATCCCTCAAGCCAGTCCTGCTGCCATCTGCCAGAAAGGACCAGGCACTGGAATTTCAAGTTGCTATAAATGCAACTTGCTTTGCCACACACCAGAGGAAGGAACAAAATGAAATGCTTTTGCTTAGGTCATTCCAAGCCCTGGGTATCATGGAGAAAGTAATTACATCCCTTAGGGAACTAAGCACCACAGTGCAAATTTGAGCAATCATGATTCAGGGACTGTACAGCTGGCTTCTTGGGGCTGTGGCTACGACACAGCTAAGCTAATGAGCTGCGAGTCTCATTCAGTTCTTAGAAATTATAGGGAAAAATAACAGCAAGACAGTGTATAAACACTCATGAGTCAGGAAGGACTGCTGCTCACCTGGTCCTGGACATGAGTCAGACATGACCAAGTAACAGTGAATGAAGTGTGAAAAAGCATAAATCACCACCAGACACTTTCAATAATTCTCTTTTAAGAGGAAAATTTCAGACTTCTCTTTCTAGCCAGTTCTTTTCTAGCTATACTGAAAGACAGAATAGCAAAATGTTACCCAATCTCATTTTACCATTTATGGAGAAAGTTGTACGAGAAAAAGAAATAATGTTTACAAAATTCTACATATAATGTTTTATAATGTCTTTTAACACCAAGACTTAGGAGAACTCACAAGACATTGTTGAGTAGCAAATAATACATAAAATCTAGAAAAATACATTTATTTAAGACAAAATCTGTGTCTGTACTGCTTTATCATTATTACGACTTATTAACAGCTAGTTAGAGTTCGTTAAAAAAATTGAGTTGTAAAGTTTTATTACAAATTAAAAATGATGTTCTTAATAATCACAACTTGTCCATATATGAAACAATTTTAAAATCTTATTTAAGGTGTATGAGAAAAACTAAAAACTTTTAAAAACATGCTTATCATTACCAAAAAGAGATGTCTTTATGAAAAAATAATTTTTAAAAACCCACAATACAGATAATTCTAGTTATCTGGTCAACAGGCAAGCACTTAAGGTCTTCTGCAGTGTCAGTCTTTTGCTCATTTCTTATTGCTGGAATTTCACATTTGTTTCTTATTAAATGACCAAACTGGATGATGGTAAGTTGACACTCAGCCCTCTCCTGCTCAACTTGAGTAGAGGATGCATTCTCAGCTGGTTTTCTCCTTGCCATGTTGTGGTTTAGGGTTTCCTGGGCCTCTGAGTTGTAAACTGAAGTTGTGGAGGTACCTACATGGAGGTGGCTGCTGATCTTGAGTTTCATCTCCTTGATTTTCCTTATCTTCCTCACTGCCATCTCAGTAAGTAAGGGCCCTGAAGACTTGTGGTCTATAACCCCAATACATAATCTACCTCACTGGTCTACCTTGTTTTCCTGCACCAAAAATACACCAACCCATATGGTATAGTGCTCACTCAAGGTAGAGTTTGAGTGACTTCCCAAACATTTTAGATTCATACTTATTATCATCATAGTACCTGACGCAAAAGGACAGAGTCACTGCTATACTACTGTCGTGGATTGAATTGTGCCCCCCAAATATACGTGTCAACTTGGCTAGGCCATGATTCTCAGTATTGATTGTTCTCCATTTTGTGATCTGATGTAATTTTCCTATGTGTTGTAAATCCTAATCTCTGCCTGTGGTTAATGAGGCAAGATTAGGTTATGTTAAAGAGGATTAGGTGGGATGTGACAACCTAACTCAGGTTACAGCCCTGATTGGATGTAAGGGGAGTTTCTCTGCGGTGTATACACCATCATCTTTTATCTTACAAGAGATAAAAGGAGAGAGCAGAGAGATAGGGATCTCATACCACCAAGAAAGAAGAACCAGGAGCAGAGCACGTCCTTTGAACCTGGGTTCACTACGCTGAGAAGCTCCTAGACCCAGGGAAAGGCTGATGACAAGGACCTTCCCCAAGAGCTGACAGAGAACATTCCCCTGGAGCTAGCATCCTGAATTCAGACTTCTAGCCTCCTAAACTATAAGAGAATAAACTTCCGTTTGTTAAAGCCACCCACTTGTGGTATTTCTGTTATAGCAGCATTAGATAACTACTAAGTCCACATTTAGTGTTTTCCACTTCAAGTAAGAACAGGATGCAGAAGGATACTTTGGTGAGAAAATGACAAAGACTTAGAGAAAACACGAACAGCCTATCTGCATCTGCTATATCTGGAAGACATCTTCTGACAGGGAACATTAAGAGTTCATAACTGTAAGGAATTGAAAATACAATGTTAGATTGAAAATGCTCAGAAAGATGAGCATTTTCAAAAAAGATAAAGAATATACACAAAAAACTTGAAAGCAGAGACTCAAAAAGAGACTTGTACACCAATGTTCATTGCAGCACTATTCACAGTACCAAAAGGTGGAAACAACCTAATGCCATCAACAGATGAATGGATAAACAAAATGTGGTACATGAATACAATAGAATACTACTCAACTAGTAGGAAAAATGAAGTCCTGATACAAGCTATGGTATGGATGGAGTGTGAATACATTATGTTGACTGAAGTAAGCCAATCACAAAAGGACAAATATTGTATGACCTCACTTATATAAAAAGACAAGATAAGGCAAATGTATAGAGACCAAAGTTTATTACTAGTTACTCGTGGTTGGGAGGGAGGGGGAAAACAAGGGTTAATGATGATGGAAAAATCACATTAATTAAAGGTAGGGTGGCAACTACCACTCGTCTGTCAGTTTTTCATACTGTGGTAGCTTGCATGTTGCTGTGATGCTGGAAGTTATGCCACCAGTATTTCAAATACCAGCAGGGTCAACCATGGTGGACAGGTTTCAGCTGAGCTTCCAGACTAAGACAAACTAGAAAGAAGGACTTGGCGATCTACTTCTAAAAAAAATTGGCCAGTGAAAACCTCATGAATAGCAGAGAACATTGTCTGATATAGTGCCAGAAGATGAGCACCTCAGGTTGGAAGGCACTCAAAAGACAACTGGGGAAGAGCTACCTCCTCAAAGGAGAGTCGACCTTACTGATGAGGATGGAGTCAAGGTTTCAAGACCTTCATTTGCTGATGTGGCATTACTCAAAATGAGAAGGAACAGCTGCAAATATCCATAAATAACTGGAACATGGAATGCATGAAGTATGACTCTAGGAAAATTGGAAGTTGTCAAAAATGAAATGGAATGCATAAAGATAGATATCCTAGGCATTAGTGAGCTGAAATGGACTGGAATGGGCCATTTTGAATCAGACAATCATATGGTCTACTATGCCAGGAATGACAAATTGAAGACGAATGGCATCACATTCATCATCAAAAAGAACATCTCAAGATTTATCCTGAACTACTACACTGTCAGTGATAGGATAATATCCAAACACTACAAACAAGACCAGTTAATACGACTATTATTCAAACTTACACACCAACCACTAATGCCAAAGATGAAAAAATTGAAAAATTTTACCAACTTCTGCAATCTGAAATTGATTAAACATGCAAGCAAGATTCATTGATAATTACTGGTGATTGGAATGTGAAAGTTAGAAACAAAGAAGAAGGATCAGTAGTTGGAAAATATGGTCTTGGTGACAGAAACCAAGCTGGAGATCACATGATAGAATTTTGCAAGATCAACAGCCTATTAATGGGAAATACTTTTTTTCAACAACATAAATGGTGACTATACATGTGGACCTCACCAGATGGAATACACAGGAATCAAACTGACTACATCTGTGCAAAGAGATGATGGAGAAGCTCAGTATCATCAGTCAGAACAAGGCCGGGGCCAACTGTGGAACAGACCATTGATTGCTCATATGCAAATTCAAGTTAAAGCTGAAGAAAATTAAAATAAGTCCACAAGATCCAAAGAACAACCTTGAGTGTATCCCACCTGAATTTAGAGACTATCTCAAGAATAGATTTGAAGCACTGAACACTATAGACCGAAGCCCAGATGAGTTGTGGGATGACATCAAGGACATCATACATGAAGAAAGTAAAAGGTCATTAAAAACACAGGAAAGAAAGAAAAGACCAAAATGGATGTCAGAAGAGACTCTGAAACTTGCCCTTGAATGAAGAGTAGCTAAAGCAAAGGGAAGATATGATGAAGTAAAGAGCTGAACAGAAGATTTCAAAGGGTGGCTGGAGAAGACAAAGTAAAGTATTAAAATGAAATGTGCAAAGAGCTGGAGTTAGAAAACCAAAAGGGAAGAAGAACACACTTGGCATTTTTCAAGCTGAAAGAACTGAAGAAAAAA